ATGATGGTGATGTGATAATGATAAATAAGGATAATAATAATGATGGTAATGATAATAAAATAATAGTAATGATAATAATAAATAATAAAATAATATAATAATAATAATAATAATAATAATATAATAATAATAATAAAATAATAAAATAATAATAATAATAAAATAATATAATGATAATAATGATAAAGTTGGTAATATCATGAAGAATGATATTGATAATGATGACGGGATGATGTTAATAAAGACAAGAATAATAACAATGATGAATGATGATGATGATGATGTAATAATAATGATAATAGAATGATAATAATGATAAGAACAATAATGATAACAATAGTGATAATATAATAATGATAATAATAATGATAATAATAGCAACAAAATCACCATCATCAACAACATCACTAATAGTAGAAACAACAATAACAGTCATTATATGGCTGTTGTAATCCTTATACTGGTCATTATGTATTCCCCTATTTTGCGTTTGTTCATATTGCAATATTCATATCAATATTGCACCATATTCATAAATATCATCAGTACTTTATTGTTTATTTATGCCTTCTGTAGATACATTTTATCTGTTGGGAAGAAAGGTACTTTATATCATGTATTTATAAATTCCTTTAATATAATCAGAGTTATCATCGTTATTTATCTTTTAGAATGTACATTTGTTATTACTATATTTAGTGCTTCGAGTAAAGATCATCTGACATGTTTTTTTTTTGTTTTTCTTGCGTAAATAAATGACTTTCTATTCTTTCTTTCTTTCTTAGCTGTATCTTGACCTGCGCTGACGCCTTTGGTGGTATAAATCTCGATTTGTTTTCAGTGTGGCTTTTGTATAGCCTACTATAATAATAATGATAATGATAATGATAATGATAATGATGATAATGAGAATAATAATAATGATAATAATGATATTAATGGTGATGATGATGATGATGATGATGATGGTGATGATGATGATGATGATGATGATGATGATGATGATGATGATGATGATGATGATGATGATGATGATGATGATGATGATGATGATGATGATGATGATGATAATAATAATAATAATAATGATAATAATGATAATGATAATAATAATAACAATAATAAAACTTCGAAGAAGGCATCTCTGTGGCACTGAGAACAAGAATGTGAAAAAACGGAATGAAAACTGCTTAAAAAAGGCATAATAAGTTAATATAATTTTTCATATTTGATTGAATTTGCCATCAGGGTGTGCATTATGTTTTTAAGGATGTTTTATTAATATTATAATTACTTTCTTATGTAGAAATGTATATATTTTAAGTGCATTATGAATAGAATATTTGCTTTTGGAATTTTCTTCTTGGATTTGTTTATTAAAACCTATTTTCGCTTTTCTTTCTCGAAAAAAAAAGAAATTTAAATCCCTATCTAGCATCTCAGTCTACGATGGAAACTCGATTTCGTAAATATTTTTGTCTTATTTTTTATTGTTTTATTATTATTAAAGTTATTGGTGATGACCTGTGTGACCTCGTGACCTCTGTATACTTGAGATTGATTTAATAAATGATATATCTAGTTAAATTTCAACTTAAGATATGATGCGGAATTTAAGGGGGAAACAGTCTAAAAATTATTCTTCGCGTCATCATAGATGCCCCAAAAAATTATCGTTCCTTTATTCTTTCTTCCGTTCGGGTCTTCGCCCTTTATCGGCTCGTGGCCCATCCACCCCATTCGCCGAGCGGGCCGAAAGTGAAGCACCTCGTGAGGCAGCGGGAGAAGTGGGCAGCGCGCTTACCTCGGGTCAGTTGCCCAGCATGGGAGGAACATTACACATTTTGCCTCAGCCGAGTTGCCTTCGCCGCCTAGATTTCGAATTTGACTTCTCTGCCCAGCGTGATTGGGGGCGGTTTTGGGGTATGCGTTTCCGTGTGGGGAGATATTTACCCGTTTCTTGGTGAATGATCAACCTTTTGTGTCTTTTCGACAGTGCTGTCTTGGGGCTCTCCGGGCGTGGCCAGAGTCTGGCTCCGCCCCCATGACCGGGGAAGCTCCGCCCCTAACGTCTAGCAGTCATATACAGCGCGCGAGACGTTACTTGCTCAGTGGCCGCCCAGCAATGGTCGTGTGGGACCTATTGGTGCTCGTGTTCCGTATTCTGTGCTTCAAGCCGGCCGTCATCGTGATCTGAGCAACCATGGAGCTGAAGGGCCTCGACCCCACTGACGTTTACTGAGCGGCTCCGCCTTCGCCCCCAATCACTAGTCTCTCGCCAGTCCTCACTCATTTCTTGCTTGCTTGCTTGCTTGCCGGTGGTTCCTGCAGCGTAGTCTGCCGTGATCACCGACACATTACTCCCTGGATCCCGCGCACGCGGCTACACGCTCCATTTACCATGAGTTTCGCTCTGGATCCCCTGGATCCCACGGGTATATACTGATGGCTCCGGGCCGTCAGTCCCTCCACAGCCATGGCGCCACGCTGGTCCACGTCGCTCCTACAGTTCCGTCTTGGACTGTCCTTGCTGTCCCTGTTGGCCGCCCCCTCCCTGGGGCGCCTCCCACACTTCCCGGATGGCGAGGTGGTGGATGAGAACAACCTGGTGGAGGGGGCGCCGCAGCCACTTAGCCTTTCCGACGCCGTCCGCCTGTTCGTCAGCCTGAGTCAGGAAGAGGAACCGGGCGCTCGATCCGAGGGTCAAGAGGAACGAGAGGACCCGAGATTGATCGGCATCACCGACGGAGGGCTCTACAGGGGAGGTACGTGTCGCGCCCTCGCCGCCTCGAGTCAGAGGCGGCGATCTCTTTTATAGCATTAGTACTCTTCCCGTTAGCCTCGGCGAGAACTATCGGTCCCGTTTGGCAGGTGCGATCACAAAGCTGGCTTCGGCGGCGACCCTTCGCAGTCCGGGGGATGACTCACTCATCCCGGAGTGGACGGAGTGTCCCTTGGAGCGAAGCCTCTCTTGGGATCCCCATTTAACCCGCGTTGAAATCTCTGCGCGGAATTGAGCTTCGCCAGAGTTCAAGAGAACGGTCCCCGCGGCGCGCCATAGACGCCGAACGCAGTCCAGAGCAAATACGGTAACGGCGTTCGGTTGCTCGTCCCCCTTCACGCCTGTTATTCAGTCAGTGGCAAAGGCGGCGACGCCACAATTAGCAGAGAAAGTTAGCGAAGGAGAGTGTATTGCCCCGGTCGAACCGAGAAAAGTGCGCTCGCTCAGATCAGCTGGTCCCCCGCGGCGCCGCGCTGTTGTCAACTCCCGGTATTTACTCCGTTAAATGTGACTGCCTCGGTTCCCGCTTTTGCCCGAATACAATTAAGATAATGACTCGCATCCGATGGAGAGTGACGGTTCACTTCACCCAAAGAGGAAACCCAGAGGCATAACCTCACAAAAATCTCTTTTATTACTGCTTCCGTGTCCCTCCCTTGTCAGCTGTGACCTGCTGTCGTTCATTCATCCGCCGAGTGGGAGCGCGGGACTGAAGTCACCGCACAGTTACTCTCCTTCCTCGACTCTCCTGCTTATTAGTGTAGAACATTTTTGTTCTCTCTCTGGCTAACGGCATTTGGGGACCTTGAGCCTCGATGCTGGATGTTCTTTTGTGACAATAATTGACGTTGTAATGTGTTCTCCTGCATGCTCGGTGAGGTCGCCAGTCACCTTGGCCATACTCGTTTGCGGTCCATCGGTTCTGCTAATGGATCTGCTTTCAGGCTTTTGTTCAGTATTTAGGCAGTTTAGCAGATGAACAAAGTGAACATCCATCATCATTTATATACCTCTCTGACATCTACCGGTTTTACCTTGCCCTTAGAATAACTACCAGTTGCTCATGTATTGCCTTCATCAGAAACATACCATACGTAATTATATATGTTTCCGATGAAATGCTCAATACATACGTTATATGTGTTATTGTTACACGGACAAACGTCAGCTGTTATGACTCCTATTTTACTCTCAATAGTATAGCTATGTTCCACTCGAGCTTAACTTTTTTTTTTCTTTTTTGTGATCACACGCTGTGACGACTCCGTTACCAGTTAATGGGGGCCACTAAAACTGTACAGACATTTCTGAATGCACATTTTTAACTTGGGAATGGCGAGAGAGAGAGAGAGAGAGAGAGAGAGAGATGAGTGAGTGAAGTGAGTGAGTGAGTGAGTGAGTGAGTGAGTGAGTGAGGAGTGAGTGAAGTGAGTGAGTGAGAGAAGAGAGAACAGTGAGAGAGAGAGAGAGAGAGAAAAGTGAGAGAGTGTAAGAGAGTGAGTGAGTGAAGTAGTGAAGAGTAGAAAGGCAAAGAAAAAAAGTAGAGATAGAGTAAAGCAAGCAGCAAGAACGAGTAAAAGTGAGAGAGTGAAAGAAAGTAAGAAAGAACAATGAGAAAGAGGAAGAGAAGAGAGAGAGAGAGAGAGAGAGAGAGAGAGAGAGAGAGAGAGAGAGGAGAGAGAGAGGAGATGAGAGTGAGGAGAGAGAGAGAGGGAGAGAGAGAGAGAGAGAGAGAGAGAGAGAGAGAGAAGAGAGAGAGAGAGAGAGAGAGATGAGAGAGAGAGAGAGAGAGAGAGAGAGAGAGAGCAAAGAGTTTAGAAAGATCATGAGAGAGAGAGAGAGAGAAGAGAGAGAGCGAGAGAGCGAGAGCCAGAGAGAGAGAGAGAGAAGGGAGAGAGAGAGGAAGGGAGAAGGAGACGACCAATCTGGAAGCCTGTGAGTGAGGAGGAGGTACAATACAGCAAGGTGTGTTGGCTGTGTTCCGTCACGCAGGCAGATCTGAAGCCGCTGGGACCACTTTGCGCTCGCCTTCATTTTCCGCTTTGCTTCGGCCAGGAAGAACAACCTCTTTGCCGTTTCGTTTCAGAGCGTGGGAGTTTTTTCTTTAAGTCGTTTTGCAAAGCCCTCTTCTATATGTAGGTTGTTTTTGCGGGTGGATGGAGAGAGAGAGAGATGAGAGAGAGAGAGAGAGGATCGAGAGGAGAGGAGATGAGAGATTGAGGAGAGAGAGATGGAGAGAGGAGAGATAGAGAGAGAGTGTAGTCGGTAGAGGAGGAGAGAGTAGAAAACAAGAAACCTGCATGAGTAAAGAAAGATCCGAAGTCCTGGAAGAAAGAAGAGAGAAGAGGAGAGAATGAGAGAGTATCGAGAGAGAGAGAGACGAGGTAGAAGACGGACGAGGCTGAGTAGAGAAGATGGGTGATGGAGAGGAGGAGTGAGACGATGAAGAGAGAGAACGGAGAGAGAAGAAGAACGAGCAAGAAAGAAGAAGTATAAGAGAGAGGGAGAGAAAGAATAGATCAGAAAAGAAATGTGATCGAGAGAGGAGCGCCATCTCGCCATGACACGAAAGTCGCCTACCTCTTCTTCTCGCATAATTTTTATGGCAGATCTATGGTTTGAACAAGAGAGAGAGCAAGGGATTCGGAGTATGGATCTTCTGTTTCTCTTGGTTATTCATTTATCTTTCATGTTCTATTGGGTGTGTTTTTCGTTTTATCAATTGGTAGTGAAGGGTCGAGCCTTTAATTGATATAGTTTTATCAGTACTTTATGAGGCATTGGTTTTTTTATGTCATCGGCAGTATGCTTGTAAGGATAGGGAAGGAGAGGGAAAGAATGTTGTGATTTCAATCGGGTACGTGTCTTTGCCGAGTGTAGATTGACGTGAGAGAGAGGTGAAGAGAGAAGAGAGATGAAGGATGCGGATGATTGATATGATGGAGAGGATATTAGATGAGAGAGAGATAGAGAGACGAGAGGAGAGAGATAGGATGTACGAGCCTTGTTTTGTAAGAAAAAGCAATGTTAGAAAGAGAGAGGCATTTGTTCGGTTGATGTGCCACTCTTGTGCGTGCGAGTGAATTGGGTAGGAGCGAGAGTGATGAAGAAACGGGAGAGAACGCATGTTGGAAGGGGAGCATGTGTTGTGGTGATTGGTGTGTGAGCGAGAGGAAAGACGCCGAGCAGAGCGAGCTGAGAGAGGAGAAGAGAGGAAGATTGTAGCGAGGGAGAGAGGAGGCGTTGGAGATTGAGTGGGAGGATATCGGGAGATAGAGAGGAGAGAGAGAGAGAGTAGAAGAGAGAGTTGGGAGAGAGGGACAGAGAGAGAGAGGAGAGATGAAAGAGGATGGAGCGAGAGAGAGAGAGAGGAGAGAGAGACGAGAGAGGGGGAGGGAGGAGAGAGAGAGAGACGGTGAAGATCCCAGACAAACGAGATAAAATGCGAATAAAAGGAGAGAGCAACAGACGCGGAAGCTGAGAAACAGGAACTATGCGAGAGTTGCCAGATCTCACCAGACACTTTTTCTCCATAAGTCAAAAGACTGGCAATGGGGCTTCGAATCTCATTATGATGCATGGGTGTAAGTCCGTAGATCATGTGCAATATTGAATCGATTTTTTTTTAATCATCATTTGCTTTCCTACCGCATATGTTGGATAAATATGATCCGTTTTTTTCACGTGATGGTCGCAAGGGGTATGTATTTGTTTTATATACATGTAATTCTTGCGTTAGAGTTTGAAAAAAAAGGAAAAGAAAGAAAATTCGATGTATTTTTCAATGTACGCTGAGTCATATACCTATCCCTACGATTCACCTGATTGAACATAAACGTTATTCATCGTTGGGTCAAGAATAAATGTCATGGCTTTTTTCCTTTTTTTTTTCATCCGACGTCAAACTGGTATTGTGAGAAAAAAGCTTAAAAATGAGTGCGACGGACCTTGGCGTTAGCTGCAAGACCTTGGGTGAGCTCCATGCATGTTCCTTGTGACCTGTAGAAAAGGCAAAACGTTCTATATAAAGCGTTGAATATTCATTAGAAGAAAGGATAATAAACCACCGGAAAGAGAGAGGAATATCGATGTATAATAGGCGAGAAAAAGGAAAGAAAAGCGGAGATTTGGCTTTAGTTTGGATCGGTGCCGACAGAGGGCGAGTGGCGACGGAGCTAAATGGTCTAGAACTTTGTGGAATTAACCCGAGAATCCTGGGATGTTTTCGCTGTGTCAGGAGAAGAAATAAAACTTACAATAAAAAAACGATTTCTTTCGAGCTCTGGGAAATTTGTCGTTCTAAAAGACCGACTACATTTTGTTTTAAAGGGCCATGCGTCGAGGCACATTAGCGACGTGCTGACAATCACGCACAGTCTGAGAGCGGTTACGAACCTATAATATATTTGAAATTGGACGCACACAATGTCCGGAAAAACAAATTAGACGTAATGATGACGAGGGTAAATGTATTGCCTTGCTGAGCGTATTATGAAGACCGCCCTCAGACAAAGACAGTTATAAGGAACTCGCCGCGCCATCAAGGAAGTGTCGCATAAGGAAGCAGGAATAGGAAGTATGCAGCGACTCAGGATGCTCGTCATGGGGGTACAGATGTAAACCAAAATGACTCGGAGATCATTGATTTTATTGTCTTTAGATCTGTTTTTTGGTACAGAAATAATACTTTTTTTTGTGAAAGTTACTTTCTTCTTATCACGATCGCCTTGTATTAAAGTATAAAAGTGAGTCTGCTTGCAGTCGTGACGTAATTTCCTGCTCCTTGTATTTGCTTTACAAAGGCAGTGTGTCATTGCCTTTAATGATAAATATTTCTTTTTTCTTTCCTTGCAAACATTCGTATTTAATTCTCTCTCTCTTTCAAAGTCAGATTCCACGTCACTCCGGGAGCTGCTTTCATATCAGGAAGTCATTCTGACCTTTGAGGGCCGCGAGGCATGACCAAATGTCCTTACACACCAGCGGCTGTTTATCCCATCACCCAATCTGCCCCCTAATTAAAACCCAACTTTGTCGCGGCAGAATTCAAGCCGAAACCAAACAGAAATGTGTCCCGGCAGTCAGAGTTTGCGAAGATAATAATCGTAATCATTACTAGCTGTAAAGTAGAGAGCAGCAAAAACTCAACGCGAGAGAATGTAGTAGACGACCTTGCAATTGCTGAGCAAGTTTCCCGGGATGCAGCTCCTCGTACCCACTCGGTATGGTTAATGACGATTGCTTGAAATTCCAATCATTATGCTTCGTTTTGAATCGCCGGTTCGCCTACGTGCGTCTGCGTCCGGTTAAGGAGAAGGTGCGGTTCGGGAATGGAGCTTCGGTTAAGAAACTAAGAAACGCTTCCATGAATTTGACAATATTTAAATCTGTCCGCGGTTTAAGAATCGAAAACGAAGAATTATTGACCGTTATATTCACGCTTTGGGGTTTGATAAAGGATTTATATCTCGTTTCCAAGGGGTGATATAACGGGTGTCTCGACGGGAGAAGCCAAGGGGCGAATTCCCGCGGGCTTTCGTCGAAGCGAAAAGAAGTTCTCCCTAGACAAAGGACCAAAAAGCAACAACAGCATCGAAAGGCGAGTGAGCATGCACGCCAGACGCCGACGCAAGTGCAGCAGCCCATCAGGTTTTCTCTGTTACCTTGCTGTCCTTCAATGCTTGTTAGATATAAGACGGAGCTTAACAAAACTAGAGCACACTCCTCGTCCGAATGACTTGCTCCCGAACACGAGTCTAGAATCGGCAATGAAATCTTGGTCTGTGAAATATATCGATTGACTTTTTTTTCTTTCCATTTTTGAAGGCATTGCAATGTCGAGCATAAAGTGTTATAAATTAATGTCGAAGAAGATGTTTGCAGTGTGGTTTGATCTGCAACTAAATGCGTTGGATGTTTGTCCGAAGCCGTTTTGCAACGTTTCTGAAGAGTGCCCGGTCGTCGGTGCATATTTGATTCCCTTGATTATAATACTGGTCCATGATTGCTTCTTATCATGGAGGAGGAATTATGAATTATATCATTAGCGAAGGATCACTAGAAATATTAAGCATATCACGAATAATTAAGGAATCCCTTGGAGAAATAAGAAGGACAAAAAGGGGAAACCTCGTGATGGCAGTACCGATAATCCGTGGCAGGGCAGACCGTCGACTTCATTATCATTATCTTCATCAACAATCACAAACTTGCAGTGATCATGATTGCCGATTGCAGACTGGAGGATTCCCAGACGATGATTAAGCCAACTTAGACGCATATGATATCACGGCGTCTTCTTTTGAATATATGCAAACACACGTATTTTTAGGTTACGTGGGGTTGTGTTTTATATTCACACACGCACACATTACACGTACACACACACACACACGAACGCACGCACGCACACACAAACACACTTCAGAAAACTTATTCTCAAAACGATGAAATATAACAAAATATTAACATCACCCCAAAAATCGAATATTAACGTTTCACACTCAATTAAACGAAAGAAAAAGAAAAAAAGAAAAGAAAAACCAAAAAATCTATATATTTCACCCATATTACGCAGTCAAGAAAACAACAACAAAAAAACTAACCTTTCTCTCTCTCTCTCCCTTTTTTTATCAGATCTTGTGGTCTATCTCCCGGTGACTCTCCTTCTCCCTACGTTCGCCTTCCGGTCGCGCTACTCCTTGGCCGGAAGTAAGGATTCCAGCTGGTCGAGTTACCTCTTCGGAAGGAGTTACGTGGGGGGTCGAGAGGAAGAGGAAGAAGAGAAGAAGGAGGAGGAGGAGGAGGAAGATTGGCAGGATGTCAGAGGACCTGTGGATCGTGTCCTCTCTGGAGAAGTCAGATACGATCCTCAACTTCCGGAGTATGAGGATGGGTAAGGATCCTGTGTGGTTTTTTTGTTTTGTTTTTGTTTGTTTTTGTTTTTGTTTGGGGAGGTTTTTGTTTTGTTTATTTGTTGTTGATATTTTTTTGGTTTGTTTTTAAGGTAATGTTTGTTTATTTGTGGATGTTTTTTTAAAGCTAGTTCTTGTTTATTTATTGTTTAATTGGTGTAAAAAACACTGATTTTGAATTCCAATTTCCTTTTTCTTCTCTCTCTCTCTCTTTCTCTCTCTTTTTACTTTATATTCCGAAACACTGATTTTCAGTTCCACTTTCCTTTTCCTTCTCTCTTTCTCTCTTTTTACTCTATATTCCGAAACACTAATTTTAAATTCCACTTTCCTTTCTTTTCTCTCTCTCTCTCTCTCTCTCTCTCTCTCTCTCTCTCTCTCTCTCTCTCTCTCTCTCTCTCTCTACTCTATATTCCGAAACACTGATTTTCAATTCCACTTTCCTTTTTCTTCTCTCTCTCTCTCTCTCTCTTTTACTCTATATTCCGAAACACTCATCTTAAATTCCACTTTCTCCTCTTCTCTCTCTCTCTCTCTCTCTCTCTCTCTCTCTCTCTCTCTCTCTCTCTCTCTCTCTCTCTCTCTCTCTCTCTCTCTCTCTCTCTCTCTCTCTCTCTCTCTCTTCTCTCTCTCTACTCTATATTCCGAAACACCGATCTTAAATTCCACTTTCCTTTTTCTCTCCCCCGCAGAGCCTACGGCCCCCTGCTCTCTCGCCTCGACGCCTACTTCCACTACTTGCGCGTCCATGATGACTCCTGCAGGATGAAGGCTATCTGCCACTTAGCGAAGGATCCTGCGAAGTACAGCCCCCTCTCACACCTCGTTCTCTCGGCGCTGAAGTGAGTATGGTTGTGCTGTGTGTGGAGGGCTTGGGGATGGTTGTGGGTTGTGGGGGGTTTGAGGGTGAAGGGAGATGGAGGCCTTGAAGGGAGTATGGTTGTGGTTGTGGTTGTGGGTTGTGGGTTGTGGGGTTTGAGGGTGAAGGGAGATAGAGGTATTGAAGGGAGTATGGTTGTTCTATTGTGGTTGTAGGGCTTGGGTTGTGGGTTGTGGGTTGTGGGTTGTGGGGTTTGAGGGTGAAGGGAGATGGAGGACTTGAAGTGAGTATGGTTGTTCTCGTGTGGTTGAGGGCTTGGGGGTGGTTGTGGGGGGTTTAAGGGTGAAGGGAGATAGAGAAAAGGGAGAGAGAGAGAGAGAGGAGGAAGAGAATGTTCTTGTTTTGTGGTGGAAGGGCTTGGTGGGTTGTGGGGAAGGGTGAAAAGGGAGGGAGGGTGAGGGTGAAGGAGGGAGAAAGGGAGGGAGGGTGAGGGTGAAGGAGGGAGGGAGGGTGAGGAAGGAAGGAGAAGGGAGGAAGGGTGAGGGTGAAGGAGAGAAAGGTGAGGGTGAAGGTGAAGGGAGGGCGGTGAGGCTGAAGGAGGGAGAGAGGGAGTGAGGGAAGGTAAAGGAACAAGAGGAAGAAAGGGAGGTTTGACGGTGAGGGTGAAGGAGGGAGAAAGGTTAAGGGAGTGAAGGACAGAAGGTTGAGGGAAAGGGAGGGAAAGGGAGTCAGAGGGTGAGGGAGAAGGAAAGGGTGAGGGTGAATGGCCATGAGAGAAGGAGAAAGGAGTGGCGAAAGGGTGAGGAAGAGAGGGAGAGGGTGAGGAAGAGAGAAAAAGTTCAGGGTGAGGGTGAGGGAAATAAAAGATAAGGAGAGGTGGAAAAACAAAACAAGAGAAAGGTTAAATATTTAAGGACACGCTATCAAAATATTACGAAGGACATTATGCAACTTTATCATAAAACAAGAAAACAAGTACATTTATCCGTCAAGAGAAAGTCCACCGTTATACTAAATACATTTTATACTTATATAAACTCTAAACGCGTATAAATACCACACGAGATGCACTTTTATGTATTAGAAACAACTGAAGAAATACAGAAATAATTCTCAAAAATAACCAAAACCTGATCATAATAATTGCCGAAAATACCGAAAATAGAAAACAAAGACCAAAAGTAATGATAACAATTTCAATATCTTGTATCACTGTATTTTTTTTCTCTAACGAGTATTATAAGTTGAAATAAGTAGGATTGAATGCAGTTAAGCCTTTGTATAACCCAAAGATAACCTCGGTTGGCGCCAGACTTGTCTCGCTGTCTCGAAAGATACGGTTGCTAAATATTGATCAAAACCGTTATTCAGAGAGAAAAAAAGGAGTTATCGAAAAGACATTTTATATATTTGGATAGCTTTGTTTTTTTTTAAATGTTTCTTTTTGCGTTGTTATTAATATCTTGTGTCATTTAATCCCACCGATGGACTAAGGGAATTGATCGCTTATTGTCCGGGCGAAAAAAAAAGCGCGGGAAGATCGGCGTGTTATTTTGGAAACGTTATCAGCAGCCATTACACCGGCATATTTATTTGCGTGAAGACATATCAGATGGTATTGGTCAAAACGAGATTGTAGAGTACCACTTGGCTGTCCCTTGAAACTTGAATTTCAGGTATCAAGCAATACTTAAAGAAAAATCTCTCAAGGATTTCCAGGTCTCTGCAAAATACGGTGCGCGTCGTACGTTACACACTGGCCAAGTGTTCACTGTTCTGCTCGATGCTTACTTATATACAAAAGGTTGTTAACAAAGTGTGCTGGAACACAAAAAGCGGTTGTCCTTACATCTCTCTGCTTACGTGTAAAATATGGCGGAGACGTGACAATGCGGCTTCCGGTGTTCGATCAAAAAAATGGCCAAAGTCAGTGACAGATGCGAGTGTTCGGACGCATTCACGCGGTTTGCATCTCCGGGCTAATTCTGTCCAAGAAAATTTTCCTGACACGAAACTTCAGGGTGTCAGCGGCTTCAGGCAGGACTAATCATGCACTGAACACACAAGGTTGAATCTGAACACCTCAATTGTTGCCATGCTGAAGTGATTCTCAAGTTCCACAATTAAGAGAAAAAAGAAAAAGAAAAAAAAGAGAGTGAGAGAGAGAGAGAAAAAAAAAAACATTACTGCGATCGACAAACCCGGACCATACAGCCCCGTTCCACCTTAACCTAAACGCAAAACCCCACGAAATAACACGCACGCAAACACCTACAAACGAAATAACGAGACCCAAACCCCAATAGAGAGAATAATAAAAGCAAAAAGGGGAAAAAATAGTGACATCACGCGGTGGACATTGGCAGCAGCATTAGCAAACACGATGGCCTTGTCCACGTGTTTTCCAGGACTTGCAAAGGGAACCGCACCCGATATACGGACAGGCTGCTGCTGCTGCTGTTGCTGCTTCGTGGCGCCTCTGTCGCGACACCCACAGGGGCTCCTGCAGGGGGAATGGGGCGAATGGGAACTGGGAATGATGAGTAAATGTGGGAATGGTGAATGAGGTGGGGATTCGGGAACGGGGAGTGAAGTGGAAATGGGGGTGATTGTAAGGTAAAGTGGGAAAAGGGAATTGAGGTTGGGTAATGGGAATTAGGGGAGAGGTAGACTGGGGGTGAGGCTGACTGGGGGTTGGTAGATTGGGGAATTGGGGTAAGAGGTAGATTGGGGAACTGGGGGAGATGTAAATTGGGGAATTGGAGGAAGAAGTAGAAGAGGTAGACCGGGGGAACTGGTGGGGAGTAGACTAGGGAACTAGGGAAGAGGTAAACTGGGGTTTTGGTGGGGATGAACTGGGGTACTAGGTAGGTAAACAAGGGGGAGACTAAAATTTAAAAATCGCCTTGGAATAGAAATTTAAGAATATGTCTGAGAGTTCTTGGTCTCCGTCAGTGAATATTTGGAAGTGTAATGCCTCTCGCTCAGCCGCACTCGCATGTAACCTAACTGTATTTTCGAGAAACGTGTTTTGTCCGTTGAAGAATGTTTTACTACACCCATCATAAGCAGTGGTCGTTTGTCTTTTTAATCGGTGGCATAGTAACATGAGGTAGCAGATTTCAAAGTGTCTGAACGTTTTTTTATTTATTTATTTTTTTTTACTTGTCTTCGGATTTGAAATACGTATATACTAATACACGCTTAGATACACGGGCTTAGATACAGATATACGGGTGGAGAAGAGTAGACAAACAAACAAAGACAGAGAAACACGCAAAGAAACGAACGCACATGTAAGTAGAGAAACAAAAAGATGTTCGAACAACCAAACAGAAATGAAGATGAACAAGAACACATGTTAATAGATACAAACAAGCAAATAAACGAAACACAATCAAATTGACAAACACAACCAACAAACAACACACAAGTAAACAAACAGCACAAACAATCAAACAGACAAACAACACAAACAAGCTAACAGACAAACAAATAAACAAAAGACGATCACATTAACAAACACAACCAAACCAATAAACAACACTTAAACAAACAAATGAACAAAACACAACCATCTTCACAAACAAGCAAACGCTATTTCTTGATCCTGAAAAAAACTCACCTTTGTTTCTTCTTCATCTTTCAGGAAGAGTGAGTCCTTCTCCAGGCCTTCCTCGTACAGCCAAGAAGTGTTCCGTTTCTTCCGCTACTACTGGGCGGCTGAAAGGGGCGTGGCCGGCGAGGACTGTAGACACGCCTACTACCAGTGTCCAGCTGACCTTGAGGACATCGTCAACATGAGCGTCCTCAGCTTCTGGCAGAAACTTGCATCTCTTGTGTCTATAAAGCTGAGCGACGAATGATGATGCCTCCCCCCCCCCTTTTTTTTTTTTAATTATTGTTCTGATGGAGTATTTTATATATTTTGGTGCTTTAAATGCCTACTTGGTGCCACGTGGTTCCAAAATTTTCTATACTCTGGTGCCCGGATTGTGCTGTACAACATAACCGTATGTTACCAGCCTGTTACTAGTGCCTCGAGAGGGCGGGTCGTGGTCGCCCTCCCGCCCAACATGTTACCACTCAGTCACCAATGCCTCGGGGGGACGGGCGATCTTGCTTACCCCCGCCCCCTCCCCCCCACCTTCTGTAACGCTCATGGAACTCTTATTTTCCAAAGCCTCGACTGGATGACTTGTCCCATCTGCGTGACAATGGGCCCAGGCGCCTCCTGACAATATCCGAGTCATATGTAATGTTTACAAGGCCTGCGCCCCCCCCTCCCCCGGCCTTGAAGCCCGGGAGGACGCGCAGGCCCTCTTGCTCTACTCGCTAAGGATCTCCCCGTCAATAAGAGGTGTTGTAAGTGACGAGTTAAACCTGTGATATTGTAGTTTATTTTGATGTGTCTGACTTCCGCCCCACAGCGGCTCGGGCACTTTGCCCACCGACCTGCACTGTGCTGTTGACAACCGTAGTCACTCTGCTGACCTATCCTTGACCTTCTGCCTGCTGCCTGCTGCTATACGTGGGCAGGTTAAAATCACTTAGCTCCCAGTCATTATAATTTTTACCGAAACCAGACAGTAGACATTTTCTTGCGAAAAAAGTAGTGAACTTGGACGACTGCGTCAAATCAATGACAATCTCTACCATCTTGCTGACAGTTTTATGGACTCGCAGCTCGGAGAATCTCCATAAATGCCTGCACCGTCCTTCGACCACTTCTCCTGCGTTAGGCCGACGCTAAAACTCAGCGGGACCGAAACTAAGGCCGTAGTTACGAGACTTTTCGGAGCCGACTAAATCAAACGAATATTTGCAAAAAGTTCGATCAGATTTCTCAGACGTTGTAGCATCCTGTGCATCACCTTTGCAAAGGAATAAGAACGCAAAAGGAACGTGGATTTATTCTGACTGTAGACTGGAGGGAAGTATTGACTTAGTGACGCACGGAGAAAGCTCTGACTCAAGACACTAGGAGAAAGTGTGGACTCAGACGAGGAAAATAGCTGTTAGTCGGAGAGAAAGTTGGCGATAGTCGTGGAATCGAGTCGTGTTGCTCACCACGACACTAATTCTACGACCAGTCTCATTTGCATTGTGAGTTTTGCTTGCTGTCGAAAATAAGATTAAAGATCATGACTATTTATAATCCGATTTAAAAATAGAATCATTTAAGAAATGCCAAAAAAACATTTGAAATCGTACATATAATGAATAATAATTTTTTTCTACTAGATTAGTTCGACCAATACTACAAGTATTTGAAGTTGAATATAATGGAACACTGAGCGCTGTCTCTCGAAACCTGACCTGGATCATGAATGGCTTGACCTTTTGAAGTGAATGTTGCAGGCTCCCTTGGGAAGACGCAGCGTGTCGCTTGGCGGACTTTTGAATCAAGTACAAAGACTAAAAAAGCAAATTGTATTTTTCGAGCTTCATCTCTATTTGCAAAGACTGATGATACAATATTTAAGCGTTTGGTTGTGGTAGAGGGCTCTCGATTGACGGCATTGCACGCGGAAATTGAAAAAAAGCAAGAGACAGGAAAAAGTAATCCGCTGAAGAGAGTGTCTTTTCAAGAACCCTGACATTTGCTTCGGTGGGTTATTAGACTGACAGAGAAGCGCCGCCAAGCAGTGAGAGACACGACAGAGAGCCAGACTGACGGAGACGGTGACAGACTGTAGACACTAGATTATGACAGCCGACCAATGACTTTACGACGAAACTAGCACGTACTATTTGACTAATGACGGTACTAACGTGAAATTAGCAAATGGCTCTAACAAACTCCACTTGACCATAGACAGACAGACAGACAGACATCCTTGAGCTAGGCAGGTAGGATGGACTGCAAAGTTGAAAGCGATAGGTCACGCAAACAAACAAAAACAAACTTTCGACAAATAGCAATACACTTCACTATGTTGATAAAAACAGCAGAAGAAAACCCACTTCAACTTTTTCCCATAAACTTTCATTATCCTAGTGTGGTGTTTTTTTCTGACAAAACTTTCGACGTGACTGACTGTTGGCAGAGATGAAAATTGTCATTACTGAAGCAGTTTGTGCTCCATAGTTACAGGTCGTTTGGTCCAGTACAAGTGATGCATATCCTTAAGACCAGTCCAATGACACTTGGTACAACACTAATATATACGTCTGCAAGACTCAGTATTTTCCTGTACACTTGGCTGTTACACGGAGTAAAAGTATACGGTACTTGTTCACGGTACAATGAATAAGACTCTTAGTGTATTCACCTGACCGTTGATAATCCAAGTACACCTATTCTGATTACTTACAGTATGTGATCAACCACATATATCTTTCATATGGTTGTAAATGGTCATTATCTGGTTGAATCGTCTGGAAATGGTCTGTTCTGATTAGCACAACCATGCTAATCAGCGCATTTGTAAACCAGTTCCCCTTTTTTGTTGTTGTTATACTTCTTTTTTATCATTCTAAAACCCAAGTGAATGTGTATCTGCCGTCTCCAAGTAGTGACAGAAAGAGTGTATTTAGTGATATTTAAATGCAAAATCTACCTTTCCTCATTTCGAAATACTGTGTGATGCTTATTATATGTACAATGTGTTTATTATCACTCCTATTGCTGATTCACTAATAATACACAACTACCTAACAACAGGAGCTACTTGGGTTGTTACGAACTCCCGAGTAGTCTCACATATATATACACACACACATATATATATTATATATTTGCACGTATGTATATTATAAAGAGATTATACGTTTATAGTTGTTCTTGTTCTTGCAATAGACGTTCTTGTGCCAAGTCTAGGTCTGGTCTCCTTCCTGACTACGCGTGTGTCAAGTCCCCGTGTTTGTGTGTAAATCAAATATAATTGTTATTTTGAACAAGAGAAGATGCATGATATTTTTGTAGCAGATGAAGATCATGTAATAAGTTTATTATATGAATAAAGAAAAATGTGAAATATA